GCGCGACAACCTGTTCTAGGAAGAAATCGCGTTAAAATATTTCTACTTTGTTTTTTTTCCCAACACTTTTCGACAGTTTCGAAACGTCAGTTTTTTCGTTCTGTTGAAGTGATCGCAAGATATCGTAATGTTATATCGCTCGCAATTTTTGATGAGGTAAGTTTCCTTATCGAAGATAAATAAAGAAGATACAAGAGAAAACGCCTTGTCAAGAAGACAGAGGCGTTTATCTTGCAGGAAGATCGCATTGGCGTCACGAAGTACCAAACAGCAGTTCACAAGGATAAAAAATGTATCAGCTGAAGGAGGCAAGAAGAGAGCAGCGACATTGGGGAGAAAAAGCAGGAGTGGGAGAAAATATATTTCTCTTGTCTTTCCTATTCTGAAATTTCGCAGCATCCATTTCTTATCGTCTCCGCGGTCTACGTGAATTCTCCTCGCGCTCTGGGACTTCGCCCGCCGACGAATTTTATCTGACAAGCACTTTGGCGAATAGCAAGAGAGAGGGAAAGTCAGAAACGTGACAAACTGGCAGAAATAGAGAGACTGGAAGAAATAGTCGCAAGACGAAGACGAAGATGAAGAAGAAGAAGAAGAAAGAAAAGAAATGGCGAGCAAGAAAAAGAAAGTGGACGGTGAAGTTCGAAATGTGACGCGAAACGTGCGACACGTTTTCGTCCGACTCGGGGCGCGCGCAATGCTCGTTCTTCCCTCTCCTCTCTCGTTTCCACCCTTCTTTCCCTTTGTTGCACCAGAAGTGCAAGAGTCGCTCTAGCGAGCGCGATCTCGTTAACGGGATATGCGGCGTTCGCTTCTGCGTCGTAGTGCCGCTACGTCCCGCCTTCTGGTTTCCGGAGATCAAAGCGAGTCGAGGGGCCTGTTGCGACGAACAAACGGAACCTTTCGGGTGATGTTAAGCCGTGGCATTCGCTTAATTGTATACTTGTACTTCCATACGCGCGGAGGCCCACGCGTCGCCCGCGGCGCAAACCGTTTTACTACGGAAATTGTGTTCCGCCGCCGCCGCCGCCGCCGCCGCCGCCGCCGCCGCCACCGCCGCCGCCACTACCGCGGCCGAGACCAATGTCGTACCACCGACGATAACGCGGCGATTTGCGCGAGCGCGATAATTATCAACACCGCGCAACGCAATTCACTTCGTTTCGCCTCGTATCTTTAAACTCGGAGTCAACAAAAATATATGTAATATGTGTATACACATGTAATATACATATACGCGTACATAGTAGCTAGTCTTCGGATTACGGTCTCGACATGGAGAATTTTTTTTTTTTTTTTTTTTCATGCATTTTATATTTTTTTCCATTGTGAATTATGCAAGCACAAAAAATACGGAAAATTGAAACGTCACAGTTCGTGAAGTATTTCTACTATTTTAACGAAGACGTAAAAAAAAAAAAAAAGTCCCGTTAAATATGAAACGTGTAATTTCAAAAATGTGCCTGTTTCATCAGAGACAAAAGAGATAGAAGTATTATATACGTAAAAACACACACACACACACACGCGTAAAAGTTGGATTTTATATGAAAAAAGAACAGTTGGATAAATGATCATTTATTAATCACATTTTTGAACTTTTGTCAAACCGTAATGTCTCTTCTATCGGGAAGAGAAAGAGAGAGAGAGAGAGAGAGAGAGAGAGAGAGAGAGGGAGAGAGAATAAATTAAATTGCAAGAGAAATAATATATTCGCAACTTTTCGTCGTAATTGCACTTTTCCAACGATGTCAAATGTCCATTTAATTTCGTTGATAGCTGCACACACACACACACATACACACACACACATAGAGAGAGAGCCTGCGAAAGCTCTTTCGACGAGGAGCAGCCTTTATGACGCTCGAAAGAGTAAACATGCCGGAAGAGGCGCGCGATCGCGCGCGTTCGTTTAAATTCTAATATTAAGATAAGGCAGCGCTCGGGCGTCAAGCGACGACGGAGAAAAAGGCGACAAATGGCAACTGAGAGAGGGAGCGTAATAAAAGGATAGGAGGCACCGCGAAAAGCACGAGCTAGATAACTAGGACAACGTGTTTATAAGCTGTAAATTCGTCGCTCGAGATTGTCTACGTCGTCGTCGTCGTCGTCGTCGTCGCCGCCGCCGCCGCCGCCGTCGTCGTCGTCGTCGTTGTCACGTCGCCTCGCTAAGTTGAACGGAAACACGCCCGAACACACCACGTCCACGTTGTACATGTATTTACGGCCACTTTCGTCGGGCGCGAGCTACGGAACCGCCTCGGTCCGTCGCGTTCGCGTAGCTCGGTCGGGGATCACGCGAGGCCTCCGTTAAAATTCGATCAGATAATCTTGTTTGCGCGACGATTAGGGCGACCAAATTCTTCTTCGACCACATTTTCTCTCCCCCTAAGCGGCCGGCCGCGTATATTCACCGCCGGATGTCAGCGTCGACTCGAGGGCGCATAAATTTCCAGCTAATCAACGTCTACTACGTCGAGAGTCATTCAACAAGGGTGGATTTTTATCTTTCGCTTGCTTCTCTCTCTCTCTCTCTCTCTTCCTCTGCCGCGCTAAAGCTCTGACCTAAATGCGAAACCGGGTCGGAGATTCGAGTTGGATCTCTTTCTCTTCAAGAAACAGAACATTTGCAAACGTGGAACGAAGGTATGCGCGCATAGCCGGTTCGTTGATTATTACCGAGCACGTTGAGATGGAGCACAAGCGAGAAACTCAGACAAACTCGGCAAAGTTTGACGGTATTATTAGTTTCGAAGACTCATAGCGCTTCTAGAATCTGTTTGCCTGACCGTTGCGCGCGATCTGTCAGGATTTAAAAAAATCGCCAATTTTCTTTACGTTCCTCGAAATTAACGCGACTCGTCTCTTAGCGAGGAAAGAAAACTATTTTTTTTTTTTTATTACAGAATTCAACAAGCCGCGTATTTAGCAATCATTGAATCATTTCCGTGCTCTCTTTCGAACAAACTATTTTTTTTTGTTTTCTAATTCAATGATATGATAAAAAAAAGTACTTAAAAAAAAAATGTATATCAATAGTAAAACACTGTAACAAACAAATTCATGTGTAGATAAATTGTCGAAACACTATTTGAAATATCAGAGACACTACAATGCTTGCGAAGGGATTTTCGTGTAAAACCGAAACGTTTTCATGTGTGTTTGCTGGAAAATACGGAAATGGCGATGTGCGATCGAGTTTACTTAAATTTATTGCCGGACAAATGAAAAAGAAAAAAAAATACATACGTTTCGCATAAAAAATATGACTTGTGCGATATAAAATCTATGACTGTGGTTAAAAAGTTTTATAAAAACATATTCTGAAAACGAGTAGTTCTTTTCATCCGATTTTTGACACGTTAATTTCACCTCTCGTCTGTTTAATAAATGTTTAAACTTGTCGAATTTTCGTTTCGTTAGCGATTTTAACGCAGCGTTTCTCATCAACGCGCCCGATCTTTAATAAGGTTAAAGCACCCGCGCGCGGTCCGAGTTGAGCATTTATCAACCGAGATGGTTGCGTTTTCTCGGGGAAAAGGTTGGAAAACCACTGATCCGGCGGTAGCGATCGAACGGGCGCGCGTTCTTCTCTTCGCGAGAGTGCGCCGACGAAGGATTTACCGTCATTGGCAAGTCGCGAGGATCGCGGGACAATTTGTCCAGCGTTCGCACGTTCGTACATTCTGGGCGCGCCGAGTTTCTCTCGAATGCAATGGACCTTCGCGCGCATAATAGTTTTCCAGGAACGTACATACATATATATATATATATATATATACCGGAAGTTCGTCGTCCGTGCGACCGCGCGCTCCGAGTTTATCTCTTTCTCTCTCCTTCTATCTCTCCTATCTCCCATCTCCTCTCTTTCCACGTTACTCTAACAACTATTTGCTTTCCAGGTGACCTTAATCTAGGAAATGGTCACTAAGAGGCGTTCTCTCTACAAATGCAACCAGAGAGAAGAGACACGGAGACAAGAGAAAACGACGGCGAGAGAAAACAGAGAGAGAGAGAGAGAGAGCGCGATGAGGAACGAAAAAGAAGGATGAGAGAAAAATGGATGATATATCAAAAACGGGAGGGTAAGGGAATATATATATATAGTTCGAAGAGAGGTGTGTGTGTGTGTGTGGAAATATTGTACTTATATCGTTGTCCCCCGAGTGATGCGCATACACACGCCGCAGCATATCCTTTATGTCAATACCAGGACCTAGTAACCTCAGGCGCACGGGTTCTCTCTCCACCCGATATAAACTCGCTCGCTCGCGTATACGAGGTTACAAGTGGCTAAAAGATCGGAAATGCAACATGTTTCCCTCTTTCCGCATAAAATATGCGCCCTGCCCGAATATCTATTGCGCGTATTCGTTTCTCTTACATCCACTCGCGCGCGCGAAACATCTTTCCCCCCCCCCCGCCCCAACGTATAGACGTAGACATTTTCCGCTACGAATATCTCGGTTTGAAAACGCGATATTTTTTTTTTTTTTTTATTTCTTTTATTATTATTATTATTATTATTTATTACAACACCGTCGCGCGCCGAAGACGCAAAGCCTTCCTCGGATTGATTCGGGGGAAACGTGCATGAAATAAAAACGAACGAACGAATAACGCGCGCGATAACGTATTTTCACGGTTGTCGGCGAATGTGCAAATAGCGTGAAATTGACAGTCGGAAGCTCCGCTGGGGACGGAAATGTGCGCTATCTCAAAACTTGAGGATACAACGACGCGTTATATATACGCGACGAGTTTCAAGAAGAGGAGAAAGAGTAAAACCGCGCTAGAGACTATTCTCGTGGAAATTCGTCGTAGCCGCGAAAAGGTGGAATTCGTAACGACCATCGTCGTCGTCGTCGTCGTCGTCGTTGCCGCTGCCGTCGTCGTCGACGTCGTCGTCGTCGTCGTCGTCGTCGTCGTTGTCGTCGTCGGTGTCATCGTCATTGTCTCGCCGTCGGCACAAAACGTCGTTCAAGACGAAGATTTCTTACCTCCTTGCCGGGAGTTGAAGGCGCCGGTGCTTCCTGCGATGATTAGAAGCAGCAGCGGGCTTAATAAGACTCTCGAGGAAAGCGGCATCTTTCCTATACTCCTCTACCGGCGCTTGCGCGACACGGGCGGCTCCCCTTAGCCGGCTTCCCTCATCACAGCCCTCCTGTAAGAATAAAAGATAAGGGATATAAGAGACGCGAGACGGTTTTCGTCAACGAAAATGAGTCTCTCGCGAAAGAACGTCCCCCTCCCCCCCTTGTCATCAGAACGAATGACAGCCCATCGAGCTGCATGCGACGGACGCACACATTTCGTCGGAGAACATTTCTGACACGCTCGTTGTGCGCGTTGCGACAAATATTTAGAGAAGACGACGAAGCTATTATTAGCGGTGGTGTTTTATGAAAATAAAACGACATCGATGTATAATCGAAACGCGCGATGTGACCAGTTTTATCTCGAGAGAATGCGATAATAATTGTCGGACGGAGCTATTTCGGTGTTCTGGGACAAATACAAAATGAATATCTGTCAGAGAGACGATGAGAAACACTAGGTCTAAAATATACGGACGAGAGTAGCAGCGAACAATGCGAGACAATGTGAAAACAATTAGATTAATTAATAAAAAAAAAAAAAAACGTTGTACTCTTTCACCGCAAAAAAAAGTTATTCACACAGTTGGGTGAATTAAACAAACTTATTAATTTGCGACAATTTGAGGCATCGTTTGCAAGCTTTTTTTTTTTATTGTAATTTACGTGCTTTTTTTATTTAAAAAATTTTTAATGTTTTGTGTTAAGTATTTTCTCAAGAGAGAAGCGGAATAATTCACGTGAGAGAGAGAGAGTAGCGAGAGGAACTCAATGTGTGCGAGCGAGAGAGAGAATCCAATGTCACCTCTTCAAGCGTTCCATCGTCTGGAATAGCCAGCGGTCGCGTAGCGCGCGCGTTTGACGTTGAATGGCATGAACGCGGGATAGAACGGCGGCTTATCTTTCGCCGTGTGCCGTGTTTCTCCGGCTTACTTATTTTCGTCCATTCTTACGCGGTCGCGAACACAGCGAGCGAATACGAGAACGAGACCCACAGATGGGGGGCGAGACGGAACGAGACGAGACGTTCAAGGGGGGGAATGACAGAGGGAGAACGCGGACGGCCCCCGGGGCGCGTTGGGTTTCCATTATGCTAAACCGCAAATGGAGTCCTGCGATCGAGTGTCTCTCCGCGCGGCCGCCCCCGAAGGCGCACAATGGCGCTCTTCTATAAGGCTCCTAAGGTGTAATGTTACGTAGAAATTAAATTCGCCCGTATTCTCTCGCTTTCTCTCTTTCTCGCTCTCTCTCTCTCTCTCTCTCTCTTTCTCGCCGCTGCCCGTGCCGTCTTCTCGTTCGCGAACGCGAGCTGGCGACGACTCGTCACCGCGAGAACTCGTCATTGTCGCGTTTCGTTCCGCAACGTCGTCGCGACAAGCGGCACCGGCGTGACACTCGAGCTTTTTACGCTGAGAACGCATTTGCGACGATGACTTTTGTGGCTTCCCATGAAAAACGTTCTTTCTCGGAGCGACGGCGGGAAATCGCACGGGATATTAATGGTGTATATGTATATATATATATACACACACACACACACACACACACACCGCGGGGATTTTACGCGACGCGAAGATAGAATTCAACGCGCGCGCACGCGCATCCTTCTGTCTATGCGTTCTTCGACGAATTCGGTTACCTTCTCTTCCGTGTGAAACTCTCTCTTGTTTGTAGAAAACATAATGTCTATCCACGTGCGACGTTTCCCGCGGAAAAATAAATCTGAGTGAAATTTGAAATTAAAATTTTTTATATGCGTCTTTCCGGAGATTTGCTGCATAGGCAGTTTTGTAAAGAGGGAAACGCGACGTATGCACGACCCGAGAAGGAATATTGGAGCCGCGGGGAGAGGTTTTCCTCTCGCGCCCGCGCGCGACGCAGCTTTTCCTCTCTCAAGGACTCGATTACAGACGGACAATTTTATTTAGGTATCCTGAGCTTTTTCATATTTTAGTTTCTCTTTTTCGTCCCGGCTATACCGACAGGGGTTTACAACCTGTTATATATACGTATATATATATATATATATATATATATATGTATATGAATACGCGCAGTGCTTTCACGGTGATGCTTTCGCCGCAAAATTTAAAGATCTTTTTTTAGTTCCTCCCTCCCGCGCGCACGTTTGATCGATTTCGAGTAGACGTTAGATTTGCAGCTTTGAACGCAAGAACGATATGAAAATATATACATTTCCGTATATACTTCGCTTTTTGAGATAGCGTGTGCGGCGGGTAAATATATATCCGATACACCATTAACCTTAAACACGATAGTCTCTTCCAGCAATTAAATGTGATATCACGCGCGAACGTTTAAATTTGTTTCAACAACAAATATGTTTCCTTTTAATTTGTTTGCCCGTCCGTTATTCCGTTTATATCTCCCCTCTCCCGCTTCCCGTCCGCTTTGGTTGAAAAATATTAAAGAGCAAATTGAAAATATCAACGGCGACAAAATGTTCAGAGAGAGAGAAAGAGAGAGAGAGAGAGAGAGAGAGAGAGAGAGAGAGAGAGAGAGAGAGAGCGAGCAGAGGCACACAATCTGGAGTAATATCCAAAGTCAGATAGAAAATCATTGTCGTGTAAGTAATTCTTGACATTTGAAGCGCCACATAAATTATTTTCTTACTAACTAATGCAGCGAATAATTAAGGCGATAATAAAGTTAAATTAAAATTTGAGATTACATCTGCCTTGGTGGTGGAAAACTACGAGCGAGAAACTGAAGATAGAACTTGGAAATGGAAAGCTAATTTCATTTCAGCGAGAGCTGATCTCGCTGTCGCAATATTTGCGCGGAAAAAATTTTTATGGCTTTCGAAGCACAACGTAGTAGTTCAAACCGCGACTCGCGCGCGGCGAAGTCATTACCATTGCATTTCTGCTTTCTCTCCCTCGATATTACGCATCGCAAATGAACATGAAAATTAAGACACGTCCTACACTAGCGCGGAGAGAGGAGCAGCAACAAACGGGCTCGGGCTCGGGCACGTCGAGATTAGCGGGATCGTCTTGCCGCGGAATTCATTCATCCATTGCCGCATTTGATGAAGACTTGAAGAAGAGACAGAGGCAAAGATAAAGTGCGGCGTAAATGCAAATAGAAACACGTCAGAGAATTTCCGTTCTCTCTCTCTCTCTCTCTCTTTCCCGCGTTAAAGAACATTTAATGATATTTTTGAATATTTGTTTGCTTTGTGAAACAACACATCCACTTGTACGTACTCGATTGTTGTCGTTTGTGAAAAAAAACATAAAAGGCGGACATTTCAAAAGAGACCGCCGTGTGCCAGAGGCTCGCCTGCCGGTATCTCGCGTACTTACTGATAAATAAAAGCGCGCGCGTGCGAGAAAATCGCGAAAGCTTCTTCTTCTTCTTCTTGCAAGCATCGCGCCACCAGATATATATTCCAATACGCGCGACCGACGTTTTAAACGCTCAAACATCTTTTTCCTTCAGTTTTACGTGACAATACAGGTGGATTCCCGGCTCTCTAGTTCGCCTCCCGAACAACATCGGAGATTTACAATGTTGGTTCAACGTTTACTTGCACCGTCGTATGTTTAGAAGACAAAGAATAACAGTTCGGGGAGAAAGAAGGGCGATAGAGAGAGGGGGGGGGGGGCGAGAAAGACGGAAAGCGAGAGATAAGGCCGTCCAACAACATTGTTTCTTCTCGCGGAACATCCTTGTCGTTTTAAAGCCCGCTTCGCAGCAGCAGCAGCAGCAGCAGCGCGGGGGGAGTGGAGAAAAGCTTCCGCTTTGACGGTTTCCTTATTGATCGCGCAAATTGTATTCGTTGAACGAACCTGAGGGATTGCAATAGTGGCGCGACGCGATTGCGATGATATTGTCGGGAAGATGATGCGAGAAATTGGAAACGGAGAGGAGAGAAATTCTCCAAGTCTCCGGAGGAGAACGAGTGTGTCTAAAAAACCTATAAAGCTCATCGCTTTACAAACTTCCGTCCAAAGAATAATTCATGTAACGACTTTTTGCTCGCGTTGAATTTTTCCGGAGGAACAAAAAAAAACAATATAATTGTTTGCGTTTTTGTAAGACCGTATCGTGTTTTTTTTTTTTTTTTTTACATCGTGTTGTAACGGAAAGCGTTATTAGATTTATATGCCGCTTCTCAAGGTTGTCGGATTTACAGAAAGTTCTCTCTCGAAAATCTTCCGAAATTTCTCTCGTCCTCGGAAGTTATCCGATATTATATGACACACAGGCTCATATTCGAGCTCAGAGAGAGAGAGAGAGAGAGAGAGCCTCGATTTGTCCACCGCGAACTTTCTATAACGCGCCGATGTGTGAAATGTGAAGCACGCCGGCATCTTAAAAATCGAAGAAAATACTTCACGCGCAATCGATACCCGCGCGCTCTGCCACGCTCAGCGGCTCGCAAGATGCAAATGGACCACTTTCACGTGTCATCGCTTATAAATCTCTCTTTTCTTCGTTCGGATATTTGCCAGAATGTGGGGAGTAAGTGACGAGAAGGGAAGAAGCGATATCGTAGGCATTCGGAAAAAAAAAACGAGAAACGGCGATGTGTGCAACTAAAGAAAGAGAGCAACTAAAAAAAGATTAAAAAAAAAAATATATATATATATATATATATATATATATATATATATATATTAGGTCTACCGGAAAGTTCTGTCTGTTTTTGGAATAAAACAAAATACAAATTTTTCTTAATTTTTCAAAAATGGGATATACACCGAAAAAATTATATTCTTGTAAGTAGAAGATTTTATACTTAAAAAATCTTCTTNAAGATTTTAGATGATATTCTTCTGAAATTAAGAATATATTCTTAATTTAAGAATATAGTCTTTTTCGATAGTAAGATATATATGTTTTTCTATAGAGGCTTTTTTTTTATATTCTAATCAGTATATATTCGTATCAATATTACTATTTAGAGGATTTTCCTTTTAAAATAAGAAACTCTTGTTGACGCCTATTTTAGTATAAAATATACTTAAAGTAAGTGGGATATTCTCAAAAGAAGAATACAATTTTTTCGGTGTACAAATTGCCCTCACGCTGGCAAGAA